AGTAACATGTATTTGATTGATTGTGTGTCCTTTACAATAGCTGGGGTTTGATATTTATAACCGGAGCTTAAACATGAATCCTACTCGAGCACGACTTATTACAATCTTCGGCATAGAAGAAAACATTCCTAATTTAAGATAACTTGTACCCTAATCTTTCCTTTTTTGTAGAGTCTGATATCTAGTTTCCTGGCGCCAACCATAGCTCATCATCGCTATCTACTGACGTCATTCAAAGAGATCCAACTCCAGAGTCATATCCGAATATCGATCCTCATGCAATCGATTCTTTGTTTGGCATGACTTTGGAAGTTTTGAGTTCCCACGCTTTTCTCTCCAAATTTTGGTGTAAACAAGGCCACAGGTCGGGCGGCCTCTAGGTAGGGCCAGCCGACCCCACATGTCAGAGACATGGGCTCCGCTTTGGTGATTCGTCTTTTGGAGTCTTCTAGAGTCTTTCCACGTCGATTACGCGGCGGAATTTCGTAATTTCTGTGACGAATAGGTCCCCCTTGATGGTTTTCTGGATAAACCCTGCTAAAAACACAGATTCACCAAAACTCATGGAATTTTTTAGTTTAAACCCCTATACCTATGTTTGGTGATGGAATTAAGTATAAATACAGGTTGTTTACGGAATTATAATTGATGTTATAGACCATCAACAGGCGCCTGCTGTGCGAGCGGCTGGAGAGCGAGGGCAGGTGCGGTCGCTGCATGGCTAGGCACGGGTTTCCACATGATGTGGTGAGGTGGCTCGGAGCGGCGGTGGCGGCGCGACTACTTGCGATCAAACGCGAGCGCGGTCCTTGGGCCACGGCAGCGATGGCGCAAGGTGGGCAGGAAGGGGTGTGGCTACGGCCGCTGCATGCCCAGGCGAGCATGGCCACATGGCATGGCGCAGCGGCTAGGCTACGCGAGGAGCGCGGGGGAGAAGATGACCCTATAGTGGGGTTGATGATGGGTGGACCCCATCCGTCGGTGACCCTGCTGTGGGGGCCCCATGTGGCAGCGAGAGGGAAGAGGGGGGCACGGGCTGTTGTTGCGGCTAGGGCCTGCCAGCTGGCTAGGCCAGCTGCCAGCGTGGGAGGGGAGGGCGCGGCCAGGCCGTTGTTAGGCTAGGCCTCAACGGTTGTAGGCTAAGAGGGAAGGGGAGGGAAAGAAAAAGAAAAGAATTTCTATTTTTCTAAGGGGAAATTTGAAAGAATCTTCACCCTATTTTGATATAAACGAGAAACTAAACACACAATGGCAACCAATAAAAATTGTGCAGCAGCATGAATGCAACAATCATTGTTTCTACCTTATATTTATTTTTAGTTTATTGTGTAAAATGTTTATGACGTTTATGGCATGACATCCGATGAAAAGGTCACTAAATCGACTTGTTTATGACGATTGCTTTGGAAGCATTTCAACTTAGTGATATAACTAAAAAACGTCAAAAAACATCTTAAAGGTAGTCAAATTCTATATTGTGACAATATTTGCTCTGTCATAAACCATGACTACTTAGAAGGCGTCAATATGTATTTGGTGTGAATGAAGAGGAAAAAATATTTGAAAAATGTTGAACCTAGTAGGAAAAATAGCGTAGTGTAAAGGAGAGGGAAAAAATGAAAAATGATGAACATATAGTAGGAAAAATAACGTAGTTTAAAGGATTTGAATCTAAGACCTACCCCATACGTAGAAAATGCATAACCATTGAGCAAGTAATATATTTGGTGAATAAGAGGGATTCTAAATAATTTTATTAACGCTTTGCGTCGCTCAGAAATGACACCGACCGACCGAGTGCTCAGGCCCAGGCGCTTTGCGTCGCTTAGAAATATGCCACCCATAGAAGGAAAAAAACCCATACGTAGAAAGTGCATAACCATTGAGCAAGTAATATATTTGGTGAATAAGAGGGATTCTAAATAATTTTATTAACGCTTTGCGTCGCTCAGAAATGCCACCGACCGACCGATCGCTCAGGCTCAGGCGCTTTGCGTCGCTCAGAAATATGCCACCCAGAGAAGGAAAAAAAATAAACGCAAAAAATTTAAGTACTCTAGGAATCGAACCCAGGCCACAGACATTGAAGGCAGAAGGCCAAAAAAACCAAGCCAGCATCATTTTTGCGATACATATATTGAAACTACCATACTAGAGTGTACTAGATGAGTGGACATAGTTTGAAGGGCCGAGGCCGAGGCGGAGTGCGGGCTGTATGCGCGGCGCCTGGCTGGCGGCCCAGGCACAGGTGGAGTGCGCGGGGAGGTGGATGGGGAAGGGTCGGGAGTCGACTGGCGAGGCCCCATGGGCCGAAAATTGGCCAGCTGGTCAACACGAGGTCATTCATTTGGGATTTTGGACGAAGGTGGCTAACCAAATGAATTATTTGAGCAATCAATCAACATGCATAAAAACTATATATGGTGCATCAAATATATATATATATATATATATATATATATATATATAATAATAGAGATATATCTATATCTAATATTAAAGAGACAAAATCCCTGCCACAAATCTTTTTGTTCTACCTCATCAGTTCTGTGGTTGCTGGGTCCATTTTCCTTTCGTGTTTTTTTGCCATATCCGTTTTTCTTTCCATTTTAATGTTCCATGGTCTCTATTTTGTTTTCTATCGTTCAAAATATTTGGACCTGATTTACTATTTTCTATAGTTTAAATGAATTTATGTGTGCTTATCGAAAGTAATGCCAACTTAAATTGTGCGTGCCACCTATAAGATCAAAAAATTATATTTAGGCTCATACATTTCATCTAGCATGTATATATGAAATGAATGGAAAACCCACTTGTTTACTAAGGATAATTCGTCCTCCTGAATTATGATGGCCCACGAGCAGGATTATTACAGAAGTCATTGCAGTATTACAACAGTTGATATAAATGTATTACATCAGAGTTTAAAAGCATAAGTTTTAGCCATAAGGGTAGCACGACAGATACCAAATAATACAACACAAAAAGGGGTCACCCTGCCCAAGGGTGAGACTCAACTACTGCTGGTGCTCTTCCTCCGGAACCATCATACAACAGGGGCAAAAGCCTAATTGCTGCTGAGGTTCACCTGTAACATGGGTTAACAAACCCTGAGTACTTAAGGTATATACTCAACAAGACATAACCGACGTGAGTGGTAGTGTATATTGTTCATAAATGGATACATTTCTCACATAGTTATATGAAACTATAAGGACCCGTTTGGATCCTTAGAATTGAATTTAATTTAATAATCATAATTTTGACACATATTAATTAAGCTAATATGGTTCTATATGGATTATACTTGTATATTATTATTGGCTATACGAGAGAGATAATTATGTGTTGTATTTCTACCATAGGGGTGCGAGTTAAAGAGCATGTTATAGGTTGCAAAGTAGAAACATGGAATCATGATCTATAGAATCAATTTCCATATCTCGCCCTATGAATTTGAGATAGTATTATGTGAACTTTAGAAAGTGATGGAATATCAAATTCCAAGCCAAATAGCCTAATTTATTAAGTAGATTTCAATTCCTCCAAATGAAGGGATTCAAATGGCCCTGAGATGTATCTATTCGTGGACAATGTATACTATCACTTTGTTCAAATCATTCATTTTTGGCAAGCTTATATGCCCATATGGTGCCACCACACCAAAATTTATAATTCTTTTACTACTTTATGATATTATTTCCTTTCCCTGATGGTGTCAACAAAATACAAATTCGAGTAATCCCTAACAAAACAATTCAGTTTCCATCAATTTTCACGTTTTGGTCTCAAGTGCAACATGCCTTCTTATATATATATATTCTACTTTCTGGATGTTGTTTGACTTTAAGTATAGTTCAACCTGGAGTTACTTTCCAAAACATTGTAGAAAATCAATTCAAATTTAGGAAATAGAAAAATTAATTTGGAAATCCTTAAAATCCTAGATAACACTACTTAGGTAGTCTACATGTCAAAATTGTATTTGGGCCCATGGGGATGATATAGACTATATATAGTTATTATGTTTCACCTTTTAGATAAAATGTATTTCAGCTAGCAAAAGAAATGGAAAAAGAAAACATTACGCTATGCGGGCCTGAAAATGAAGGCTAGATTCAGCCCAACTCAAACCTGTCCTGTGCTTAGCCAGTAGATCAAAAAATAGACGGCTGATATTCATTTGGGATTGTATAAAGTCATCCCAAACCCTAGCCCTCACCCCTCCATATCAATTTTGGAGGAATTTCTGGTGAGCCATTAAAAATGATCGTAATGCTCTGTGTGCTCCTGAAAAAGTTCAGCGATTTTCAACGCCACTGCTCCAACTTTTTTGTGCCCTCCATGCCACTGCCGTCAGTTTGGGCTCTAACGCCGTCAAACTGCAGGCGTGAAAAGTCGAAAATACCCTTCAGTCTAAATATGTCATTAATTTTTTTGAGCATCTTAACGACTTCAAATGAAAAAAATCAAAACTATAAAGTTGTAGATCTCATCGAAATCTATAATTTTCATATAAAAATTATCTTTATTTAATTCCGCAAAAAAGATATGATTTTTCTAAGATATATTAATCATATCAAATTATTTTTTTGCGCAATTAAATAAAGATAATTTTTATATAAAAATTATAGATCTCGACGAAATCTACAACTTTATATTTGAGTTTTTTCATTTGAAGTCGTTAAGATGCTCAAAAAAAATTAATGACATATTTAGATTTAAGGGTATTTTCGACTTTTCACACCTGCTGTTGGATGGCGTTAGAGGCTAAACTGACGGCAGTGGCAATAGATGGCACAAAAAAGTTAGAACAGTGACACTGAAAACCGCTGGATTTTTCAAAGACACACAAACATTACGATCATTTTTAATGTCACATAAGCAATTCCCCCATCAATTTTCCAGCCGCTCCTCCTCTCTCGCGCGCAGCCGCTGCCCCCTCACGGTGTCCTCCTCCAGTGCCGCTCGCCTGGGTCTCCTCCTCCGTTGCCGCCATGGATCCGAGAGGTACACCAGCAGTTGCTAGCACTAGCACGCGCCGTCACAAGCTGCCTCTCCTCACTCTCCGAGAAGGCCACGGCGCCCTCGACCATGGAGGAGCCCTGCGTTGCGACGCCCTGATCTGGCGAGGGAAGGGGGACTTCGGGTCGTGTTCGCCCGATGCACAGCTTTGCCGCCCACAGCTCCCTGCATCGCAGCGCATCGATCTTGTCGGGATCCGACGCGGGCGTGTCCAGATGCACAGCCTCGCAGCACGCCGCTCTCCCGGTCGGTGGCGATGCTCGGCCTAAGGAGGTGAGCACCGAGCAGCTTGTGAATAAGCTCCTTGTATGTACAGTCAAATCCAAAGTAAGATCTTGGTCTTCTTGTTTCCTACTTTCCTCTCTCCAGCCAAGCAGTACAACACCCCTGAGATTTGGCGGCGGTGGCGAGCTAACTTGCCTGGCGTCCCGCGGCCAGCGGCCATTAGAGCTCCCGGCGGCGACGTGTCCCGAGTCCGCTCGGTGTGCGTCAGGTGGCCATTAGCGTTGCTGGCAGCAGCGAGTCTGGTGTCAATGGGCGGCAGCGCGTCTCCAACAGTCCAGGTGCGCTATTTCCCTGTCTCCCCATCAGCCACTAAACCATCTACTACTGAAAACAGGAGTCATTGTCCCTCTCTTTTTCTGAAGTTTAGATCCAACTCGCTTTAGTATCGTATAAAATTCCAGCCACTTATTAGGACCATTTAACTCTTTCAGGGAAACAGAAGGCTGCAACAGAAGGCTAGTAAAGTTATGAAGAACAAGTTCGCACAAGTCCGCTTATGTGCTTACAAATACTATCTTTTCTTCGATGTATACATGTGCATGAATCATGTCAAGGTTGCATGTCCATAAACAGAAACTGGAAGATGCTAGCGGCCACCACTGTTACCTTCTGATTATTGGTGTGCTAGTGATTAGTGAAGTACTGATCCTCACGTTTAGCTGTGTTCGCTTGCCTAGATTTGTCGTGCTCTTGGCTGCCCTTCTTTTTTCATGCATGATTTTGTGCAGTTGTTATCGTCTGCATCACTGATTGGAGAATGTTGACTCGAGGCTTTGTAATTTTCTGCAGTTCTAGCGCAGGAACAAGATCTACAAGAAGCTCGCGAGGCGAAGGAGGGAGCTGGGGGAGCCCCTGCTGTTGCAACTCACCATTAGAATTGTAATGGCTTATTTTTCTGTGGTGTTGTTTGCCAGCTATAATGGCATATTTTTCTGTGGTGTAGTTTGCTAGCTAATCACAGTGTTATATTTTGCTGCAGGTCTTTCGTTAGTAGTTAGTAGTTTTAATAGAATGTTATCATAAGTTGTAAAAAAATAGAATGTGATCATATAGATGTTACTTTTGATTTGGTCATTACTGAATGTGCTTCTTGGTTATATGTTCAGAATGCATGTTTGGAATGTGGATCTGAAAATAAAATTGTCTTTTGATTTTGTAATTGAGAAAAATGAGGCCCAGAAAAATGTGGTGTGGGCAGAATAATAAAAAGCATTTTGTGTAGGCTCAGTCTAGCAGCCCATAAAAAATGTGGGCTGGCCCAAAAACTTTCACGTGGGCTGGCCCAAAAACGTTTGTGTGCCCAGCTCAACTTGATGGGTTGGGCCAAAATAAATAAGCCTCAACAATGGGCTTGGTCCACTAGAAACCTGCTTTGAACATGGGCCTAAATATGCTAAAAAAGCTTTGAAACAAGAAATGGGCCAGGCTAAAAACTGTAAGGAATTGTGAGAAAACCCATTGTCATAAAATTTTGTGACTTCAAAACCAACTTCATAAATTTGTGACACCAACATCTAAACAACATAAAGCATGGTTTAAGGCACATGGTTTTTGACGCAAGCTTTTTCGTCAATCGGGTGTCGTAAATCTTAAATTATGATATAAATTGAAAATATTATGACATTAACAAAATGACATAAACCAACACATTTCTTGTAGTGGAATTACCCCACTTCCTTATGGATAGATGAAGTTGTCTAAGTACTTCCTTGACCTCGGAGCGCCACCAATTTTTAGATTGGGACCAAAACCTAAGAACAAGTAATCTCAAGTAATCACAACAACAATAAGCACGTGGGACAAAAGGATTTATCCCGAGGTTCAACTTGCCACTAAGGCTTGCCTACGTCCTCGTTGTTGAGGTGACCACTAAGGTCGGAGTCTCTTTCACCTCCTTGCCTCTCTTAAGCAACCACAAAGGTAAACTTGAGTTCTTCATCAGAAAATCGAGGGTGATACAAACTTCCCAAGATTCTCCCACAGATCGGGAGCTCTTGGGCGACGTCTAGCCGGCTAGGGGCAAAGCCCCAAGAGTAACAAACGCAAATCCAACCGGCTTGACGAAGCAAGTGCTCAAGCTTTCAATCAATGTTTCTCTCACCAAACCCCTTCTCTCAACTCAATCTTTTGCAAGATTTGAAGCTTGGAGCAAAGAGGAGACGAGGGGGAGCTTGAGAGCTAGAGAGGCACTTTTGCTGAAGGTTTGGTCGAGTGGAATGAGTGGGTAATAGTTAGAAATGAGGAGGGCGGTATTTATACCCAAAGGTAAAAATGACCATTCAGATCTGTGTCGAAACTTCCGATACAGATCGCCGGAACTTCGTGCAGTCGAAACTTCTGGGGCAACTTCCGGGAGTTTAAAAAAGGCTGAGGGCAAGATCAGGAAGTGCTAGAACTTCTGGCGCTTGTCGGGACTTCTGGGGCCCGGAACTTCGGGGGCACTTCCGGCAGAACTTCCGACACCCGAAACTTCCGGGAGACGTCGGAACTTTTGGCCACCAGAACTTTGGAAACTAGTTCTAAGTGATTATGTAGTGCTAGAGTGTCTCTCAATTGATTTTAATTAGTTAATTGAGCACTCCATCTTTCTCAGACCACCTAGATTTGCATCCCCTTTATAGTGCGGCATAGCCTAAACTCAAGATCAAATATCAAAGAATTTAAACACTTTTAAGTCCATCACCGCGTTATTTTGTAATTTGGGCTCCACCATCTCATGTATTATCCTCATTCTTATTTTACCTGCTTGTCATCTCGATAAATCTCATTAGCTCTCTAATCATGTGGTCATTATCACCAAAACCCACAATTAGGGTTTCATTGCCCTTAAAAATGATTATTGCAAAGTGAACCCTGATGAGTGATATGACAAGATGTACCATCAGCTGTCTGAATGAGACACCATCAGAGACCGCAGGTCGAAGGAGCAGCAATAGTCAAGGAGGCAGCAACTGAAACTAAGCCTCTAAAAGTGGACCACGACCATGACCCCATGAGCAGCATGACGTGCTGATACTTAGCCAACTTTTCAGGATGATGAGAGATACAATTGTCTAAGGGATGACCAGTCCTGCCACAATGCCTATAGGGCTCTGTAGAGGTACTATTGGGTGCACTGGTCCTCTAAGAAGCTGCCAACACACCATGAGACACTACAGAGGACATGGACTTGAGATTAGTTTCTTCTACAAGTAAGTCAGACAAAGCCTTTGCCATAGTGAGTGTTGACGGTTCGTATGTGTGTATATATGAAAGGGAATTGCGCAAGCGCACATAACTATCGTGTAGCACTTCGCTTGGTGAGAACCAAGTGTTAAATTTATATTTTTCCAAAGGAAGGCGGATGGGTGTTTTTGGGAATTGTGGTTAGGTAGGCTAGGTAGGTGTGTTTTAGCAACATGGGGTAATATGGATGATGGACGGAAAAAGGTAAACGGGTATGTCACAACAAGCAGCGGTAGCTACAAGTGTAGTGTAGCTGAGTGGAAGAGAAGGGCAAGTAATTTTAAGCAACAAAGGTAAATTAATGATAGTGAGAACATCCTTAGTACGAGAGGCGTACCTATCCTAAATTCAATCAGGCACAAAGCACAATGAGCCCTATGTTTTAATAACTAGACCCAACGTGGTGGAATACAAAGGAAGGACATGGCTGTCACCACTTGTCAACTACCATAATCTATCTAGGGATTTAACCGTACCTACAGGCAAGATATAGCCTGAGCACCATGCTTCAATCCGAGCTCTAGTGAAATAAGATTGAAGCACCTTAACCAGACGGTAGATGTGGGGGTATGACCCCCGGTACCCGCAATGATCCACATGGGCCAAGCCACTAGGGGAGGTCCAGCCCACAAGACTATGCATGGGTCATGCAACTGGTCGAGGCCCAGCCCGCAAGATAACGCCACACGAAGTATGCCGAAGGACGACGTGCTTCATAAGGCAACGTAAGGATTATCGGTGATCGATGAAATCTGCTCGGATATGATAGATAATATACGATCTGTAACTTCCTATCTTGTAAACCGATCAAAATGGAAATAACTGATCTGTAACCCTACCCCCCAAGCTATATAAGGCGAGTAGGGACCCCCTCGTTTGAATTGAACCATATGCAATACGAACCACAAATACTAAGGACGTAGGGTATTATGTCGAGTTGACGGCCTGAACCCGTCTCAATTACTGTCTCCTGCGTTCTGTGTCACCATCTAGTTCCCTCACGCGCACCTCCACTGATTCATCTACTACCATGGGCATACCCTTCGGTAGACTGCTGACCAGATTTCATCGACAGTGGCACGGCAGGTAGGGGGTGTGCGTGCTGAATCCAAGGTGAACCAAATGGTCACCTTCTTGAGCTCCATGGCCCCCCTCGAGCCGGGCTAGATCTTCACGGTTGGATCCATGACCTGGGTCATCAGCCCCAACAGCAACGGGGAGGTCATGGAGGCGGTGTAGGACCACCCTGCGCCGATCACACTGACGCTAGCAATGACATCTCTGGTCCTAATGCCACATCACTAGATTAGGAGATCCATCATCAACGACGACCTGATCGCATCCATCGACCGGGTCACAAATCACCTAACAGAATGCCAGCTCCTCATAGATTCGGTTCTAGATCGATCTAGAGCGAGTGATGATTTTCCTACGCTCCAAGGTGACCAAGCCGCAGCGACCGAGCGACCTTCTTCACCACACCACGCAAGGCGGATAGATTCTGATCTGGTGATCACGGCTACTCTAGAAGGGCGCACGGTGAGGCGTCGACCACTTCCCACCATCGGCCTTCGCTTGGATGACTATGAAGCCCCAATGGAGAACCCGCTAGGCCTTACCCCTTTGAGCTGGAGGGTACACGATCTACGTATCAGAACGCCGTCCACCACCTCTTCGCTGACCACATCGAACGCAATCGCGTCACCGACCTCTACGTGATCGACCCAACTAACTCTGGTCAACCCACGCCCATGGTCAACATGGTGGCCATTCGTCAGCTCTCGGAGGATTCCCCTCTTTCGATCGAATCTCTTCACCACATCTTGGATGAAAGCCCCGACAATTCTTCCGAGGGCTCGACTAGGACCCTGTTGAGCTGCCCTACTTTCCCTCTAGGGTTCAGGGGCATGATTTTCCATGTCAGCCATGATAGTGTTACCAAGGATGGTGAAACTGCTGAAGAGCGTGTCGCTCGTCTAGGGAAGAATGCCGATCGCCAACGTCGCGGAGATGCAGAAGCGGCCCCTGAGGCCGGCGAAGATGGTTGCGGCCTGTCCTACCATCAATGCAATCTGGAAGAGACATTTAACATGGTTGGTGACCAGCCAGTCTATCAGACTCCAAGCGCCAATCTTGCTGTCGCTTTCAATGAGATCGACAAACTCCCTCACACTCTAGAGGTCGAGAAGGTCCGTGCGCACATCATAGCTGCACAAGTCTAGGTCAATGAGTTCCAGAACGATGTGCCATCTTGCTCCACCGTGTTGGCTCATAGCCACCGCTCTCGCCGCAACGGAGGAGGCCAACATCATGGCACCGACGCCCCCCCGATCTCAAGCTGGAGGCCCCTACCTCTATAGAGGTTACATGGACAACTATGAAGTTTATTCACACCAAAACGCCCGCCCACCACATCCCTAGGGAGGTCACGGTGGCAACCACAACTAGGAGGTCAATCAACCCACCTCTTGCGACCTTCGCGATCACCTTAACGCCAGTGCGGATGCCTGTGGTCGCATCAAAAACAGTAGGTCCGCACGCTACGAAGCAAAGATGGAGTGCCGCCGGAGATTTGATCGCTGAACACAAAGGATTCACTGCTCGCCAAGCACCACTCCCCACCGGCGCATCAAGACTTCGCCCCTTTACAAAGAGGCTCTGAGCCATCCGGTGGCTGGTGGGCTTCAAGGTCATTGGTGTCAATACCTACGACAGAAAGGCCAACCCCGCTCAATGGCTAACTCTATACGAGATCGTTATAAAAGC